CTCGGCTCTGAATCTGCCTCCCAAGGCCATGATGCCTCACACACCCGCTGAAAGCATATGGACCTAATCGCAGCAACTCCAGCCCAGGTTCTAGAACAGGAAACGTCTCTAAGAGCCAGCTTTCCTGACTCAATCACCTCTATACTCACATCACCGAATCTGCCTTTTTCCTGAAGTGCTCCATCACCTGAGGGGGAATAGTCTATGCTTGGCTTTACTATTTTCCATTTTCATGAATTTTCATAAACTTTGTCAGACATTTGAAAGATCTTCATGGCCCGCAGAGATTTTCATCTAGTGAGATGGCTGTGGACTTTCCCTCTCTCCTCCCCATTTTGCACTAGGCTTCTTCTTTGCATCAGGTGTTAGGGACAGACTTTCTTTTTTTGGAGACAGAGTCTCGCTCTGTTGCCCAGGCTGGAGTGCAGTGGCACAATCTCGGCTAACTGCAACCTCTGCCTCCCAGGTTCAAGAGATTCTTCTGCCTCAGGCTCCTGAGTAGCTGGGAATACAGGCAAGCACCACCTTGCCTGGCTAACTTTTTATACTTTCAGTAGAGACAGGGTTTCACCATGTTGGCCAGGCTGGTCTCAAACTCCTGACCTCGTGATCCCCCCACCTCGGCCTCCCAAAGTGCTGCAATTACAGGTGTGAGCCACCGCGCCCGGCCCCCCCCTTTTTTTTTTTTTTTTGGAGACAGAGTGTCACTATGTTGTCCAGGCTGGAGTGCAGTGGCACACTCCTGGCTCACTGCAACCTCTGTCTCCAGGGTTCAGGTGATTCTCTCCTGCTTCAACTTCCCAAGTAGCTGCAACTACAGGTGAGCACCACCACAAATGCTAATTTTTTGTATTTTTTGGTAAAGCCAGGGTTTCACTGTGTTGGCTAGGCTGGTCTAGAACTCCTGGCCTCAGATGATCCGCTTGCCATGACCCCCCAAAGTGCTGGAATTACAAGCATGAGCCACTGCACCCTGCCCTTAAAAAAAAAAAAAAATACACTGTGTGTGTGTGTTCCTGGCATTCTTTTGTGCAAACACATGTCTTGTTTGATCTTGGAGTTTTGAAAATAGATGACTCAAAGCACCATTGTTTCAGTGACATTTATCAAATTGCTTTTGTTTTTAGGAATCTGGCACACTAAGTACTCAACATCACCACACAGCATATGGGTGTTTTCAGTAAATCTGAAAAGGTGACAATTCATACTGTCCAAGGTGGCTGAGGTGATTTGTTGAGCTCAGACTATGGCACGTTTAGCAAGCAGGACAGGCTCTCAAGCAAGTTAGCAGAAGTACCCTGAGAGGCAATGCTCAAATTATCTGTGTATCAGACTGCTGCCCCCAAGCCCTTCTGTGGGACAATGCTTTGTTACATGTTTGGTTATTTCTTATTCTATGACTTAGCTGCTGTAGGGCAGGGATGCTTTGCTTTCTGGGGTACTGTGCTTTCCTTGGCCTCATTTTACCATGTCCCTTGGGCTTCTGTCCTCCTTGTCCCTGAAACTATAAAAGCTCGCAAAAGGATTCCCAATGGCCCCACTCCTTCATGAAGAGATATTAGAGTAGTGTTACTATGTAGAAAGAAGGACATTTTGGGAAAGGAGAGGATATTGAGATAAGAGCCCTACTTTTCCTACCCTTACCCAGTTACTAATGATCCATCTAGGCAATAGTTCATTTTGTATTGGCTAAACCTGTATTATATGATTTATCACTAATTACATAATAGCATGGGATTAATCTATGTAAGAACGACTCTATAAAAAAGAGTATATTTTGCCAGGTGCAGTGGCTCATGCCTGTAATCCCAGCACTTGGGGAGGCCGAGGCAGGTGGCTCACTTGAGGTCAGGAGTTTGAGACCAGCCTGGCCAACATGGTGAAACCCCCTCTCTACTAAAAATACAAAAAAATTAGCTGGGTATGGTGGCAGGCGCCTGTAGTCCCAGCTACTCGGGAGGTGCTGAGGCAAGATAATTGCTTGAACCTGGGAGGCAGAGGTTGCAGTGAATTGAGATTGCGCCACTGCACTCCAGCCTGGGCGACAGAACGAGACTCTGTCTAAAAAAGAAAGAGTATATTTCATGACTCCAAGTGGCCTTCCATCTTCTGTTATTCTTGGGCCTTATGTATAGCATATCTTAAATACTTAGATGACTGTTTGGGGTGCTTTATAATATTACCATTACCATGTACACTAAAATGTAATCATTTTGTGTTTTCAAACTTGGGGTTCTCAGACAATGAGGATTTGTTAGACAGATAGAGAAAGAGAGACTAAACTGACACTTCTAAGGTGGCTTTGCTAGGGGCCTAGAGAAGACAAGTCTCTGATGGGGATTCTATTTTCATGGCCACATCCAAAGTGTTGATGTGTTTTCTGCAGCACCTGGATCTGGGCTGACAATGTGATCGAGCCTGACATGATAAAGAGGCATTTAGCAAGTTTCAAGACTACATGCACAGTTACCTTAATACTGGGAAGCACAGCATCTCCCCAGGGAGCATTTTATGGTACATCTTGGGGCATTTTGCCTATCCTGTATCTCACTGAGAGGAGGCTTTCCAGCTGAACACGTGGACCCAAGCACATATCCATTCAACAGAATCTTCAGGGCCAGGGAGCTGTGGAGTTCATTTCCCTCCTGGATTTCTTCCCCCTCTTACTCTATCAGAGAGATGCTGATATTTGAGTTTTCATCTTCAGAGGGCAGCAAGATTCCTGCCTTCCTCCTGTCACTGGCTTGTTTGCTTGAATAAGGAACGCATTAGTCCCCATCACCGACTGCAAGTGGAGGCAGCTGGAGCAAGTTAGTATCAGCTATGTTGGACATCTGGATGCTGCGACAACATTGCCATTGCAGGGGTCTTAGATTTCGAGTTCCTTACAGAATGATGTAGAGGCCATTTGCAAGGACTTGTTTCCTATCCTTTTCTGCAACAGTGGCTTTGGGTGGCCTAGGCCTATATAGCCAGCTCTGACAGATGCTCAGCATTCACAGATACACACACAGGGAGCCAAATGGACAGGGATTAGTCTTAAATCAGCTGTTTATGAATGGAGAAGAGGCCCTTCTCCTGGGTTCTGGCCACACCCCTTCTCTTTGCAGCTTTTTGAGAATGAGGTCAGGGCCAGGATCTAACTGCTTATGCCTCAGAAATAGCAGCACAGATCAAAATTAATCTTAAGCTCTTTGTTTTGCTGCCTTCTTTAGATAATAGAGGAAAAATCGGAGGCCTGCTCATGTTTTGCTTGTTTTTGTGTGTACCTTTGAAAGGAACATATGAATGAATGTGTGTGAAGGGAGGGGCTGAGGTGAGGCAGCTAAGAGGGATTAGTGCTGGGCAGATGATAATTACTGATAGACTGCAGCATTCAATTGGAGCATGTTTTAGTTTTTTTAAAAAAATGGCCGAATGAAATAAACCTCAGTGGTGTATTGTTTTAGCACCTCCCTTTATATGGAGATTTTATCAGTTGCTATGAAACTGCATATTCATTTTACAGTGTCCATTTGTTTTTAATGGTCATTTTCTGGACTGTGCAAGCCACCATTCTGCCCCAGGAGCTCCATGGAGTTTTGCAGTGCTTTAAATGAGTATCTCATGCAGACTTCATTTTCTGTCAGCCGCTCTGGCACACATACAAAATACAGGGGTGTGTGTGTGCGTGTGTGTGTGTGTAAGAGAGATAGATTCTGTCTCTCATACACAGGCACAAACACACACACAGAGCTTGATCATACATAGTCTTTACATAAATTGGTATTCCTCTCTACCCACCAGCCAAGGCCTGAGAGATGTCAATAGGTGGACACTGAGGAGACTGACTTCCAATGCCCTTCAACCTGCAGTCTCTTCAGAGTATTAGCATACCTGAAAGGTTGACCTAGCAGCCAGGCATTGTGTGTAATGGTGGTGCTTACTTTTTGTTCTCAGGCTTAATTGTTGGCTGAAAGCATCTTCTTTATTTCTCACTATGCTTTATTTGCATTAATAGTCTCCTCTGTGAAAGATTAAAGAAAGTAGGATGTGTAGTGAGGACAGAAGTGTCGGTGTCAGCCTAATCTGCTACATATTCATTCGATGGACCTTAGCATGACAGGTATCCACTGAAGGAGATGCCAAAACTGTCTTCCATCCATGGAGATTAATTTTGAGTGAAAAGTGTAAAGTAGGACAAGAATTGTCACATAACTGGCCTAATGGATGGCCTAATTGACTTCCTGAACCTAAACTGTTCTCCTAAGTATTTCAGAAGTGTTATAATCATATAGATCATACATGCAGTGAATATATCTTTATGTATGTACACACATACACATGTGGACATTTGTACGAGCAAATTTGTGCTCTTCAAATTGGTATCTCTTGTGTAGAGACAGAAAGTAGATTAACGTGGTCTGGGGCTCGGCAATGGGAAAGGGGATTGATTTAACAGGCATGAGGGATCTTCCTGGGATAATGAAAGTGTTCTGAAACTGGATTACAGTGATGGTTGCATAACTTAGTAGATTTACTAAAGTCATTGATGAATTGTACTTTTTAAATGGGCGAATATTGTGGTATGTAAATTATGCCTCAATGAAGCTGTTAAAGTTGACATTCCTCTATTGGAGTTCCTGCAGATCCTAGACTACATATAATATGAAAAATTGTGTCACCTTAAATTTTCACCTGCTCTTTTCCCACTGAAGTTTATCAACTTCAATTGCATAGAAGCTGAACTTTGAGATAACGGGGCCAGATAAAAACCCAGTGCCCTGAGATATAAAAGGCTACCCTGACCCCTATTGGCAAGGAGCGAGGTTGCTGCTCATTGCCATATGAGGAGCCAACCGTGAGGCAGTAATGGGGGGCTGGGGATGGGGGTGAGATTTCCAAGCAGGTCACCGAGAGCAATGGGCACCATATTTCAAAGCTGCTTCTGCATGTGTCAAAAAATCCAAACATCCTGAGGTCCAACTCTGAAGTGATGGCGTTTTCCTCTTCTTTTGCAGGTTGTCTTAGTCTTTGCTCTCAGCATCGGTGCACTTGTAATATACTTCATAGATTCGTCAAAGTGAGTATTCAAATATACTTTCTTGCCCTTGTTTCATAAAAAATCATAAGCCTTTATGTTGATCCATTTATTTACCTTAACACCAACCTTTGCCAGACCTTCTAAGTGCAGAAGATTTTGGAGGAAGCTAGGGCTACACTGTGCTGATTTTCTAAACGGGAAAGAAAGTTCTGAGAAGGAAGGCTACTTTAAGTATGCTGGCATAGGAGGGTGAGGTATCTGAGGTCGAGTCTTCTTGCTGGGTATTACTTATTTTTAAAGAGCTGTTTCTTGATGATGTATTTGCATTGAAGATGTCAAGTGGGTAAGATGACTTGATGGGAATTTGCAACTTCTGGGAGGGTGACAGTTTCCCACAGATGAGGGTCTGAGCCATTCTTGCCATGGTTGTAGGATCCTTTTCTCAGTTGGGTTTCCAATGCTTTGATCTTACTGGAGGTCAGCTTAGAAAGCATGGTGCTATCCTTTCACCTGCCAACCGGGTATTCAGCTGAAGCATTGCATGCTGGTGCTTCTTGACTTGTGAAGGTAAGGAGATGGATGGAGGAGTTCATGATGACCCCCAGAGGTGGAGGCCCATGACCATTTGAGGACGTCTAGAGTAGACACTCATGCAGACTCCTTGGGTGCCAGCTGAATGGACTGGTGCTCCAGGGTGAGCCTGGGTGACAGACGATAAAGACCTTGCAGAAGGATGAAGAGGGCACAGACTAGAACTGCAACGTTGCAGCCAGTTCTGCCCTGATTCCTGCAGGTGCCAATCCTGAGGAAATAATTTGTTCCACCTATACCATTGCAATCATGAAGTTGACAGCATCAGGGAAACGAGCTGGAGTCTAACTCATTTTCTGTTGTGGCGTGAACTTGGCCACTCTGGTGACAGTGGCCTTGAGCTTGTTGCCCTTATTGTCCACTGTGTGAGTGTTTTGAACTTTAACTCTATCTCTGGTATGGTTGGCTACTAGACTTTGATACTAGGAAACCTCCCTGGTGTGCCTGTTGGCTCAGACTCTGATGTGCCTGAATTCTGAGCTTAGTGCTCCTTTCCTGTGGCTTGGGATGGTGGTAATTTCATGCACAGCTAAACTCAGAATTTCTCAGAGCCATCTGGTCGCCGGCCAAGGATTTTGTGCATTTGGGTGCAGAGGCCAAAATGTCAGTCAGGGAAAATAAAGAAAATATCTCCTTTAATAACCTGTCTCTGGGAATCAGCCAAGTCTAAGCCTATCAGAGGGCCTTCAGCCCATCCCCATGTGCGAGGCTGGGCTGCCCTCACCCATCTCAGATGGAGAGTCCTTTCAATGCTGTCGGGAGACAAGATTCCACATGCTCCCTCCATCAACTCTCCCGAGCCAAGAAAGAGAAGAGCTTGTTTAAGTTTGGAAGACTCCCATTGGCATGTCATTGAAGGTAAGCCCCCTTTTTAATATTTACTCTTAATGATTCTGGACACTATTTGTATTGAACTGAAGATCCTCTAAAGCCCCTGGTCTTATTTCTCCAATCTCTCTCCAGGGGTGTTCTCACGTGTCGTGGGGTGTAGACCCTGCCAACTTCCATGCTGAGACTCAGGAAAGAGGTTTGGGCTTGTAGCTTGTGTGCCCCAGAGAGAGAAAACCCTAATGTGGAGGTGAGTGTGTTGATGGGTTAGAGGCCCAGATACCTCAGCCAGCACCTTCCTTCCCTTTTCGTTTTTTTATTTTTTTAACCTTTTGTCCCTCTGTATTTTTCAGAAATAAAATGCTCTTTAGATGGATTTGGATTGTGTCTTTTTTTACAGTCTACTGTGAGGCAGTCTTTTGTTCTGTGGATCCTGGTGTTCTCCATTTCCATGTGAGAAGATGAAGAGGAATGAAATTCCCCAATGCATATCCTCTTCCCCTAATGTCCTACACCATCTCAATGTCCTTTGGCTTTAATTATGATCCTTCTAGGCCTTGGGGAAGACAGCACTGGGAGGCCTGTCTGATTCCGGTTTCTTTTATGAACTTGCAAATAGTCTGTCCCAAGGATGGAACTTCAGTCCTGTCCTCACCTTTTCCTGGCAAAAATGCCGATAAGGTTAGAAACAAGGCTATTCCCATTCTGCCTGAGGACTGTCCTAGCCTCATCCTGGCATCTCTGTTGCTAAACTATGTGGTTTGGCATAGCAAGGCTTTGTTTATAAGAAGACTTTCTGGTTATTTATATAGAAACTTTTCATTTTCATGACTTCATTTGGTTCTGAGACCATATTTGAAGATTCTGTCCGGTGGCAGGCCCAGTCAGTGGATTCAGCACAAGGGAGTTTTCCATCTTCCTTGGGAAAGACAGCAAGCAAGCTCAGTTTAAGTTTGGGGGAGAATTAGTGTAGAATCTCTAAAGCCATCTCTATGATAAGTCCATAGATTTCCAAGAATAAAACACAGTGAAACCTATTAAAAAACTATAATCGAGCTTAGTGAATGAGAAAAAAAATGAAATTCTATCTACATATAGGATGCAAATGGAAATAAAGTGAGAAAGTAGAATGTACATTCTTAAAATCCATGCCTTTCATTCAAAACTGTTACCAGTTTTACACATTCGTGGTTTGGCTGGCCATCTGGATATTTTGGAAAGACAGCTTTAAACTTCTCGTGGAAGTTATATTAAATCTTCACCCTGGAAAAAAAGCACCCAGAATTCTCCAGATGAATTGTAGTTAGTATTTACACCCTTCAGATAAATAAACTAGGGGATGGTCTATAGGCTTTCCCACAAGTGAATCTAAACCAACAGACATGAGTGAAATGGCTTGTCTCAGTGAATTTTAGCCAGAGCTGCCCCTCTCCTACAGAATGCTGAGGACTGTCCTGTAGCACAAGTTTGAGATTCCAGGCTCTCTAAGATTCCAGGCTCTCTGCACCCAGCCCTTTGAAAAGTGCGAGGAATGCCGATTAATGTATAAAACAGGCTCCCGTGGTCTGCTGGACCAGCTATGTCTCAAGGCAGGTCAGCTCCAGTTGTGCAAGTGGACAAGCAGGCTAGGTGGTTATTTTACTTCTGTGCATTAGCAGATGAGTAATACAGCTCAGAGAAATGTCATCATTGGTGGGTTTATGATCTTTTTAACCTTTCAAAGCTCTTTTTACTACCCAGAGGTGATGGATAAGTCACTTCCAAAGACAGCTGCACAACTTTCATTTTTGGCCATTAGGCAAAGACAGATCCCAGCATAGGGCGTTTTCTTTGGGTCTGGTCTTAATGATCCTAGAGTGATTGTGAGGGAAGACTCATTTGTGTGGCCTCAAGTGATTACTATCTAGCTAAGACAGATTGTCCTCAGAGCTCCTGGAATTGAAAACAAAGATAATTACATTAAACCTTATTAAAATTGTGCTTTATAATCCCAGCAGTAGACTCTCTAGAAACACCCAAGCAGACGAAGATGTCTCTGGACCAAGTCTTTGGTCAGACATCACGTTAGTGCCTTAACAAGCACAGACAAGCATTGAGCCCTCCACACACCATCTCCCCAAAGCTCCAATTAGCCATACAAGGTGGATTGTGTACAAAAAGCTCCCTTTCTTTTTCATTCTTTTTAAAAGGACTCCTGCCCAATTTATGTCACATGTCACTTTAGCTCCTAATTCTGATGTCTCCTGCCACCTACGCCGACCCTGTTCTCCCACACATTCTGATCCTTGTGAAGCAAAGATTTTTTAGAAATTGTACAACCAAGTCAAGAGTGCCTGCAGACACCCTGTGGGTGCTAATGTCACCGTTGCTGCTTCCGTCCTTGTCTATTTCCTCCCTTTGACACAAGAACAGCAATTCTTATCTAACAGATAAGGGAAAAAAAACAAAGACCCACCAGTGTCAGCATGAGAGCGAGATTCATGGATTGCATAATGCAGCAGTCTCTGTTGCTTTCAGAATTTCAAAAGAAAGTTGGAAGAGACAGAGGCCCAGAGCTCTGGGTATTTGCATTTTTACCAGGGGCATTCTGGGAAAGGATGACTCACATGTGTGAAGATATTTATTCCTTTGATTCATGTTTAAACGCTGCTACTTCTTATGCTACGGTTACGTGGATTATGAATATTTAATGCTGCGTATACTGAAAATGAAGGTCAAGTCCTGCTCACTGGTGACTTCAATGCAGGCTCTTGTCTCTGAAAGGGAAGCTACCTGCTGTTCACGGAGTAAAGCTGAAAGGTTATACGTTGTGAAATTTTTCCTTAATGACTTTATCTGCTCCAAAATGGCCGGCACACAATGGGGGCGCTTGCTGATTTTGCCAGTCTTTGCTCTTGGCTTCTGGTATCAGCACTGCTGTTTTGGGAATATAGACGTTAGGAAGGAGGAGGGAACAGCAGCACAAATTTTGTAGAGCATCTCACCCAAGGGCCCAATTGCCAAGGCAACAGTGGGGTTACATTTGGAAAATGGCTTCTCCCTAGTCTTTTAAAATTTTACTTTTGCATCCACTCACCCATTTATTCATTTTGTCTTCATTTATTAGTTTGAAACACCTTCAAATGTGACAATGCTGTGTATTTTCCAGGCAGTAAAATTGCTTATGGTTAAGGAAAACTATCTTTAAGATTGTGATAGAAATTGACCAGATTGTTTTCATAGTCTCTGAAAATAAAACTGGCACCGTTGATGTATTGGGGATGCCCAGAGCTTTAGCAGAACTGGTTAGTCGCCCAGTAGTTTCTCTCACTCCAGTCTTCACATAGCCTGGCCTCTCATCCCTTGGCCTAGAAATTCTCTTTCAAAAGGGAAGCGAGGGCAAGTTGTTGGAGGGAACTAACGTTCACTGATTATGTGCTGTCTGTGAGCTACAGAGCAAGGCACTTTACCAAAAATAGCACATACAACCTCATTGAATTCCCCTAACAACTTCTTAGGGTAGGTATTACTATTCCCACTTTACAGATGAGGAGGCTGAAGCTGCAGACATAGCCCAAGCCATGTAGCTAGTAAGCAGTAGAACCAGGATTAGATTCCAGCACGGCTCATTCTAAAGCCAT